ATGCAGCTGGCTCTCACGGAGGCATTTCCTTGACTGAGGCTCCTTCCTCTCTGATGATTTTAGCTTGTGTCAAGTTGACACACATAAACCAACCAGTACTGGAAAATACTACATTACGCAGCATCTTCTCCATAAAATGTGCTTACTGTACACTGGACGACCGTGGTGCTTAATCTTGGTTATCAGCTTGACTAGATCTGGAATCAACTGAGAGGCATTCCTCTGGACAGGCTTATGAGGTTACTTCCTGGAAAGATGAACTGGAGAGGAAGATCCTCCCCTAGAAAGCAACACTTTCTGACTGCAGCCCCGATATAAAGAGACCTAAAGGAAAACAAGCAGGGTGGGCTTTCCCTGCCCGCCTTCATGCCTTGCTGGCGAGAGGATCCACTCTGAATCTGCTGCTGTTTGTGGACACTGGAATCTACATTCGCCATTCTTCCAATGTGGACTGAAGACCCATGGTTCTTCAGGTACTTCAGGTTTTGAACTGCTGAGGCATCCAGCTTCACGGACTGAGCAAGTACAAGGTTCTCAACTTCACCATACAGACTTCTCAGCCTCTGCATCATACAGATTCAGCCAGAATTGTGGAAGACGCGCTGCACCCCTTAGCAATGTATTCTCATTGTATTGGCTGTTCCTCTAAAGGACTGTGATGACCATGATGGTTTAAAGTGTGTCTGTCTATTCTTGCATTCCGGCAACCTCAAGGTGTAAGTTTTCCTACCGTGCACTCCTCAGCAGTCTGGGCTAGAGTCCTAGATGTCACAGGAGGAGGCACAGTGATGGCATCCAGAGGAGAAAAGACGTTTATTTAATAGAAGAACTAACTGCTGCTCCGTGAGGACAAGCCCCTGCCCAGATCACATGATCCCCCTTGAACCACCCTGGAGCCTGTCCAGACTTAGTCTGTGATTGGTTCCAGAGAGCAAGTGCTCAAAAAGTCCGACTCCTAGCAGAACGGCTACCAGAGGGAGTATGTGGGGAGAGTCAGGGTTCCTGACGCTGTAGGATGTTAGGAACCGCCTCGCCTCCCTCTACCTGCCTCATCGCCTTCTCAGTTCAGTTAGCAAGAGCATCAGGAGGCTGTCGCTAGAGCCCTCAGAAGGATGGTTTGCACGCCTTCCCCGCTGCAGTCGGGGAACATGTTGAACCCATGCAGACTTCTCTTTCGTGCCTGCTGTTCTCAAACTGTCCTAAAGAGGGAGCATTCTCCAAGGTCAGGGGACAAACAGGACCCACACTAGCCCTGCAGAGCATCTGTAGGAGTTCAGGGACCAACAACCCCCCACCCCCCAACTCTTCATGGGCATTGCGATGCTAGGCAGAATTTTCAAAGCCTGTTCAGAACAGAAAATGAAACAATGTAGCAAATAGTTCACTCTAAGAAACAGTTTGCTCCACCATAAAGCAAAGAATGGAGCATTTCCTGGTGAAAAGAATCATTTTTTAAAACTGATGGGCACCATAAAAAGTGCACTTGGTTGTTCAAAATATGTGCAAGACATCTGTAATGAAAACTTCAAGGCACTGGTTTGAGAAATTCAAGGAGAACCAAATAAATGGAGAGACATACAATGTTCATGGATAGGATGACTCAATGTTAAAATGCTGATTCTTTGGGGCTAGAGGGATAGCTCAGCAGTTAAGAGTACTGATAGTTCTTCCAGAAGTCCCGAGTTCAATTCCCAGCAAACACATGGTGGCTCATAACCACCTGTAATAAGATCTGGTGCCAATATGTGACCTGGAGAGACACATGCAGGCAGAGCATTGTATACATAATAAATGAATCTTTTAAAAAATACTGATTCTCTTCAAATTGACCTATTGATTTAAAGAAATCTTAAAATCCAAGCAGCACTCTTTGTAGAAGTAGACACTTTCATTTTGAAATTAATTAATTTTGAGTCTGGGTCTCACCATGTAGGTCAAAGTGTCCTGAAACTCCCTATATCCACCTGTCTCTGCCTTCTGAGTGCTAGGATTAAAGGTATTCACTACCACATTCAGTTGCTTATGACATTTATGTGAAAACTCAAAGGACACAGAGTTGCCAAAATCTATGTGAAAATAAAAGTATAATTGAAGAATCCCTATTACTCCCTTCAAAACACACTATACAGTTATGAGAATCATGGGGCTGGAGAGACAGCTCAGATGTTAAGAGCACTTGCTGATATGGAAGAGGATCAAGGTTCTGTCCTCAGGATCAGCTTACAACTGTCTGTAACTCTAGGTCTGGGGGACTCAATGCCCAATTCTGGATTCTGTTTACACCTATGCTTCTGCATTCAGTGTACTCAAGCACATAAATTAAAAATAAATATTTTTCCTTTGAGAGAGGATATCTCTATACAGTCATGGCTATCCTGGAACTTGCTATGTAGGTCAGACTAGCCTTGAGTTCACAAGATTCACTTGCCTCAGTTTCGTGGGTGCTAAGATAAAGGCTTACACCACTACACCTGTCATAAATAAACAGGCAGTTGTGAAAACATCCAGACTTAGCAGGATATATTTAGGAATATATATGTATATACATATATGCACATAGTAGCAATTAATGAAAAAGAGGTCATGAATTTGAAGGAGTGTGGGGAAGGATATACGGGAGGGTTTGGAAGGAAGAAAAGGAAGGGAGAAATGTTATAACTACATTATAATCTCAAACAAACAAACAAACAAATAAATATTATGGGAATAATGAGTATGGTGGCCAAAAGCTAACAGTTGCAGTCACTTGAAACAGTCCACCCAGTGACTACCAAAATACCCATTTTCTATTCTTCTCCCAGACAAAGGGCACACAGCAACATTCCCAAGGGAATTTTACCCAGAGTTCACCAATTCCCTTTGTTTGCTCAAAGTCTAAGATCTTTCTTATTGTGCAATGCTCCCTCGGGTTCTGATGTGGGTGAGTGTGGTCTGAAAAGTATAAAGTCAAAGGTAATTATCACTTTGATACACCAAAGAGTAGAGTCACCAATGTAGTAAGACCATTTAATATTTCATTTGCAGGGTCGTGGGGTGAGTCAGTAGAGAAGGCAATCTGTTCCAAACCTGCTGGCTTGCATCCAGTCCAGGGTCCTAGGCAGTGACTCTGATTCCCTTAAGCTGTTCTCTGACCTCTACATATGCATGGTGGCATGTGCACCCCCCACACAAAAATGAACACATAAATGTACTTTAACATAAATCAATAATGGTGGTGCGTGGAGGCACGTAACTTAATCCCAGCACCAAGGAATCAGATACAGGTGAACTCTGTGAGTTTGAGGCTAGCCTGGTCTCCCTAGCAAGTACCGGGTGAGCCAGGGTTACACAGTGAGGCTCTGTCTCAAATAATTGTAAACAAATAAATAACCTCATGCGAGACTTGTTTCTGCTCATGGTAAGTTATTGCGGTTATGTTTCTGGCTGTTTGTAACTCTCAAACGTGAATACTTTTCCAGTTCTTTAAGTGAATACATGACATGAAAAGGTAATAAAATACAGAGTCAGCTGGGAGTGTAACTCAGTAGGGGAGAATGTGCTAGGCTCTGGACCCCATCTCTGACCCCCTAAAAAACAAAACATAAACAAAATACAACCAAAAAACCCAAAAACAATTTAGAAGAGGGCAGAAACCTAAAATTAAATGGACTTGGAATAGAGTTTTGCTCTATCTATCTATCTATCTATCTATCTATCTATCTATCTATCTATCTATCTAT